GAGGAGTCTCCAAATTGCACTCCATTGCTCTTGCCTCTGCGACACGCATGTACCACAAACGCTTTGCTTCAAATACCATCTGATTGTTCACCTTCCTCTTCATGCCCTTGTCTTTGGACCAGGCCCCAATTCTCTCTTACTTGAACTTGTTTTGTTCCTGCCTCCATCCTTGCTCTCTGGTTTCCTTGCACTACAATATCTGCTTATTTCTATCACCTTGAAGAATGTCCATTCTCTTCCATGACCTGGCCTCACCTGCCTTCCAGCTGCATCGCCACCTAATCCTTAAATCAGCTGACTAACACCACCATCACCTTCTCCCAAGATAGCATATCCCAGTAATAGTTATTGGATCTCTTTTCACATCTTACACTCTTTTGCAGATGCTGTCTGTCTGAACATGCATACATACATATATATATATGTATGTGTGTGTGTATATATATATACACACACATATATATTTTGTAGAATAGAGATGGGATATATATATTCTACAAAATAACAGTGTTCATCAATAGATTTAATAGATTTATGCCACATACAAAATGTCTCTTCTGAAGGTACATTAGGTGCCCTTTCTTATTATAAAACAGTTTGTGAATATCTATAAAATTGCACTTATTGTATGCTATTGTACCAAGCTACCCTGTGGACAATAAGAAACTTTGGTAACTTTTATTAAGTTCTGGAGATAAAACCGTAATTGCTTTGAGAGAAATGATGCTGCATTAGGCCTTTTAGTATCTGGAGAATAACGCAGTGTGAAAATATAGTCACCACTTCGCATTTACCTGTTGAATGTATATACAAATGCAGTATAAATTAATACCATAAAAATCTTCAGCTGAATTTCTATTATTGTGATAAAGTGATAAAAAATTCATAGCAAATGAACATTATTGGTGAAAAGTGGGAGTTTCCATTGTCTAAAACACCCAGGGCTAGTGATTCCCAAGACCCCTTATGCCAGAGGGTGTTTAAATTGCTTAGGTAGAAAAAAGCCACTGAGACTGCATCGATCTGCTTTCCTGTGATAACAAACGGTTCTAAAGTCTCAGGGCTTAAAAAAATGTGCTCCCTTCTTATTTATATCACGTGTCTGTGCCTGCAGATCAATGGTGTGGCCCCGTTCCACATGTCTTCATTACAGTGTCCAAGGTGAGAGAAGTTGCTATTTGAATCACGCTAGCTACGTGGGAGAAGAAGAAGAGAAGCATGAGATACTTCCTGAAGCTTGATTTCAGCCATAAAGTCATATGGTGCTTGCTTATGAGTCACTGGCCAGAGCAAGTCACCTCATCAATTGGGTGGGGACGCATATTCCTCCCACCGGTAGCACTGCGCTTCATAAGGCGATCAGCAGGGATGTAGGAGGAGAGGTGAATATTGTGAAAGCTATACACAGGCATGCAGAAATGTAGTAAGAAAGTCAGAGAGACTATATATAAAAAGGTAAACCCTAGTATTACTGGTACTATAGAGGAACTTAGCAAGGTTATCTTTCAACTAATTGTTGAAAACACGGAGTATATGCTAGAAGAAGAAAAAAAAAAACGTGAGAGGAAAGCTTGCCCAGAGTAAACAATGGGAAAATGAAGCAGAGCTTCTTCCAGAGCCAGGGTTTGGCAAGGAAGCCGTAAACGTGAAGAAGCAGGGAACCGGAGCGTCAGGCCAGGTCTTCGGGATAATTGAGGGAGAAGCCGAGGAACCAAAAGGGACCAGCGTGCAGTCCTAAAGGATAAAAATCAGTTGCAATTCTGGTACATTAATTTTGAAGTTATAATTTTTAATTAGTATTATTTTAATTAAATATCTCGGGGTGACATTGCTTAATATAACTATACAGGTTTCACATGTATAATTATATGACATATCATCTGTCCCTGGCACTATTTGCCCACCACCGAAAGTCAAATGTTCTGTTACTAAATGAGGACTCAGTAAATTCCAACTATTATTTAACAGGCAATATATGTATTCTGAAAACCCCCTAAAACTGTTTTTAATTATAACAACTATGTCCAATTAGACATAGAATAAAATATCCCATACTGCTGTTTATGTTGTGAATCCTGAGAGTATTTTCCCCTGTAAACATGTAACATAAAATAATATTGTCCCATTTTTAGCAAAAAGAAAAATAATAATCAGATGCAATATAAATTGGGAAGAAGGCATAGAATGAGTCAAACCATGTAACTGAAGAAAAATAAGATATTATGGAAAAGTATTGTTTTTATAATATTACTATTTTTGCAATCTCAAACTTTTCTTTGACACATCTTCAAGAGGTTTTTATAACAAAGAAATAATACAGGGATCCTTTTAAAGAGAGTTCAAGATTTAACAAGAGCCAGTTAGCAGGGTAGAGTCAATAAAACTGGAGCAGAATAATTTTCTGCTGAAGTAAAGGCAACATGCGGGGGGAAAGCGCAGATGTCTGGGGGCCTTAGTCAATGCGGTCCCTTTCCAGGGCCCTACGGCATCATCCAGGAGGGGAATAAATCGATGGTTGATTTTGTTAACACTGTTATTTTAAAGAAGAAAAGTTCCAAGAATTCTAAGGCACAAGAGCTTGTGATTATAAAGGGAAGATGTGACTAATTAGCACTGGAGATAAAGCCTTGTTCAAATGAAAGAGGTCAGATTAGGCTTTATAATGGATTCTGTTAGAGGAAAGCGGAATGCGGAAGGAAGTTGAGTTCCTTTGGGGAGAGTCAGGGTGTTGGAGACCAAAAGGACAAGCTATATGTTTGATTTGAGTGACTCTAAAGAAGGCCTTCCAGTGTTTATCTCCTGTGGATTCTGAAATAACAAATATAAACCTACAGAACTAAATAAATCCACTCTGAATGCAGGCCATAAAAATCTTGACAATGCAAACTTTGTTAACTGAATCCACTTGTACCTAACTAACCATTCCTTTAAGATAAATATAATTATAAACATACAAACACAAGTAATTTCATATGGAAACAGATTAGAATGTGTTATCAATATCAATATATTAAAACAAAAATTAGACTAGCAGACTGGATATAAGCTGTTAACATGCTATGTCTGCCAGATGATATTTCCTTCTTAAATCAGACTCAAATTAATGTGTTAGGGTAAAAAGATGTTCATAAATTTACATTTACATATATGTATAGCATATTAATAACAAATACTTATATACCTTAAACTTAGCACTGTTTAAAGAACTTTACAAATATTAACAAATACCCATTTACATGAGAGAACAATGAGCACACTGAGCATGTGCTCATGACAAAATACACTTACATATGCCACCTTAAGTTCTATTGAGAACAAAGCACAGTAGACAATAATTGATAATTAATAACACTAATTAAGACAATAATAAAAAAAGCTGTATAGCTACTGTAAATTAGCTTTGTTTTATTTTTATGTATAACAAAAAGAGAAAGAAATTAGAGATACTTACAGATATAGATACAGATATACAACTCCACATTTAAACCTATCTTTCAGGCAGCAAAATCTTCCTGTTATATTTAAGGTCATAACTATTGCTGGCTGTGGTACTGTTAATAAATAAACAGTCTTAGCAGACTGTATGCTTAAAAAAGGCTCCAAGATGCACGGCCTCTTCTTAGGTCCTGGCACGTAGGTTTCTCCCATGAGCTTGCGCAGCGTTTGCCAACCTGCCTCGATTCCATGTCCAATCCCATGTGGACTAGTTCATTACATTATTCACAAACCCCATTTAATTATAGAGAAGGAGAGAAAAATAGCAGTGATTTACTATTTTCTTTCCCTTTGAACATTGTATTGTGGTTAAACTACCTGTGTTCCAGAAAAGGACAGACCAAGTAACTCTTAGATCCATACACTATTCCTAGCGTTCTCCAGTTTCTTCCAGGAGCTGGAGAGAGAACTCATGGCAGGAAAGGTGTAAGGCATGGAAATAAACACATGCCATTTTCCTGGTCTCTTCCTTAACTCACAGGAAGTAGCTTACTCTTTAATTCCACCTTTTGTCTATTCTAAAAAGAACATTATATAATGATTATAGAATCCTGTGATTATAGTTTATTCCTTGGTATTTTAAAGCAGAAGAAAAAAAAGCACATTTATGTTGTGTCACTATTAATATTGCCATATGGCTGAACATAGGTTGCTCGTGGCTAAGTGGTTGGGGAGAAGGGACTGGACCATTAAAAGCTTCCTATGCCAAGAAAAGTGGTTTTGATTTTGTCTTGAAGATAATGGGAAACACTGAAACTTTTAAGGGTTGAAAGGTGTGATGGAGAAGTTGAAATTGTGAGATTGAGAGTAGAGAAAATAACTTGTATCAATTTAAGGAAAAAGGAATGGGAAAGGGGAAGGCTGTTAGGGAGCACATGATGACAGACACAGAGTGTATTTGATATGTGAGAGAAATGCAATGGTCATTTGTTGATAACAGATTAGATTGCTAAAATGGAGACAAGTAGGATAATGTTTATATCTGATGGTCTCAGAGAATGATACATTAATGAAAGCAGGAGAAACCACGTTTGGATGAAAGGGAGCCCCTCATGATGCCAGAAACTTCTTTACTGACATCCATTAAAGCTTGAAAGGGTAAACTTACAGATTCAATTATTAAATTTGAGAAAACCTGCAAATACTGGCAAGTAGATTAGTTTAAGAAAGAGCAATGAGTATTTCATGTAATATCAAAGTAAAATAAAGTATAATGTTTTACAATGTTTCATTGGGAATCCTTTCAACAACTACAAAGACAACAAAGGCAACTATTCCCTAATAGGCCTTTTGAAAAACGGCATGACAATGTTAAAGCCATGGATCCTGAACTTGAGTTTATAATTCAACATACCAGATGCTGTCATAGAGGTGGGGAAATTTCCTCAAGGCATAGAAGAAATTTATTAGAGAATTCTTGAGCGCTGAGTTTACATGGCTGCCTTTTAAATAAACATATGGTTAAAACAAAGCAATAAAATATGCACAAATTATTCTCTGCTTACCATTAACAATAACGATGATATCACGGAAGTCAATTTCCCCCCTGGCTTCCACTCTTCCTTCACATCTGTATATACCTTCATCACTTTTATTGATGTTGAGAATCTGCAGATTATTGTTGGCTAACATAGCAAATCGATCTGGAAAGTAAGCAAAGGGGAGGAAATGGTATCAGTAATTGAAAACAGAGTCCAGTGTGCTCTAAATTGCTAAGAGTTAAAAATATGGCACTTGTCTGACACTCTCAAACGTTTCATCAACAAACAAATTCAAATTTGAAAGTAAAATGTAATTTTGTGACTTCGATTCTTCCACTCCACACTTGTTACACCTTTTCTCTAGAATACATTCAAGATTTTATTTCCACATAAAATGGTTAGGTTATTATTTTTCTCTTGGTACTTTCAATGCAGAAATGATACAGAAAAAACAATGTGGGGAGATTAGATATTGCAAACATGAAAACATTTTGACTGCAAACATTGTATGTAGCAAATGGGATATAGAAAATGGTTAGAAAATTGATTGAATATCTTTCCTCTCACAATAATTAAAGTAATAATTTTGCATACCCTGAGGAGGCAGCTAAATGATATAATAATATTCAAGTCACATAGCAGACATATAAAATGGTCATATCCCTAATTTATTTGAAAGAGTTTTTAAATGCAAGATAATCCACTTTGGAAATGAATAAATTAGACTTCATTAATATTATTTCAAGGTTGACTTTTATGTGCATGTGTGTGCACATGCATTCATACAAAAATAAGCTGTTACAAAGCATGCATTAACTTATTGCTTAAAATAACCAGGCTATCCTAAGCAGCATCTCAGCCTGACAGTATTTTCCATAATATCTGGCTTCAGTTTTTAATTATCACAATTTTGTTGCAGTGTTAAGACTTTCTCCCTTCTTATCAAATAAAGAATGTTATGACATCTAGTCCTATTTTAAAACATGTTGTAAGAGCAAGAACCTGAATTTCATTAGTTAATGCATGCATAGATATAATTGAAGACCATCCATTTCTTGGTACTATATTTGAAATACTTTGGTGGATAAAAGAGACATATCCCAACACCAGGAGCCTTTTGGTAAAGCAGAAATGCCATTATTTTAGGATGCACATCTCTGGGATATATCTTGTTATACGGTGAAAGGTTACTTTTTGGAACTGTTCCAATGGTGACTGTTCTTCCCCTACCTGCTGGATTGATGAAAAAATTAGGGCAAACTTGAAAGCCACATGAGAAAAAGGGACAGCGTCCCTCAGCCCTGGGTTGCTGAATAGATGCATCTCTGGATGTACCCCTGCTGTCACTTGGACTTTGCATGAGTGAGAAATAAAGAGCTATGACATTAGGCAATTGAGAATTCAGTCGGAATTGGGGTTCATTCGTCATAGCAAATCCTTAGTGAAAGGAGAAAAGTTTGGGATAGAATTGCAAATAGGGCAGTGATCAGACTAGAGGAGGCCACTGAAACAGGTAAGCAAGAGATAATCAATAGAGATTGGAATGTGTTGATTTAGAGGTTCCCTCAGAGGAAAAAAGTATGACTTTTAAAGCTACAGACACAAGATTTTCAGGCCAGAATGTACAAAGTTAAGCATAATATTATCTCTTCGTTAGGCTAACACTACGAAGACAGAAAAAGGTTTATGTTGACGCTTTCCTCTAGTAAAATTTTCACCAAAAGAAATATCACAGTGAAAGAAAGGCAATCTGTAAGAAATGTTAAACTATAACTCACAGTAAGTCCTGGAGTAACTCCGAACTCCTAAAAATTCACAATGTTTCAAAGTCAATTAAAAGATCCTTGATTCAAGCATGTGGCTAGATATAGGATGAGAAGCAATTATAAATTTTTTAAAAAATTGAAATTTAGAGAGGCACCTAATCATATCTAGATCTCTGCAATACTATATATATTATATCTTCTGACTTATTAAACTATAAACCATCCTTAATTGTAATGTTCTTTGATGATTATAGTTTAAGAAAATTGTCAAAGGAATCATTATTTTAATGAGGAAGGCAATGTTTGATATATACTGAGAAAGAAAAATGGATTAGAGTTTACATAATCTATATTTTGATGGACATAAATCAGTGTCTCTCCAAATGGGGAATTTTATTTCAAATGGCCTTTTTTTAAATACATAATGTCTGAGATAAAACTTGGAACATTAGGAAACCAGTAATTACCTTCTAAACCTGAATGCATAGCATTGTGTGTTTAATTATATATATATAGTTTTCCAAGCAGAAAACAAACTACATGAAAATTGCATATCAAATTCTAAATATGTGTGTAAAGTCTATGCAGTGATGTTACCAAGGTTTCAAACCAAAATAGATCATGAATATGTTTGCAGAAATATTTGAAAAAAACATTGCTTCAATCAATCACACATTAACTATGGATATTAGAAGCATTAAGCTGTTAGAAATTACCTGTTTTTCTCAATTATACAGAGACACAAATATGCATTATTACTGTAAGAAAAGTAAATGAAATAATATAATACCCAATAAGGCATCAATTGCACTTTATGCAGATTTTTTACCTAGTCCTCTCTTCGTTCATGCCACAGCCATTGCTGGTATGTCTCATCTCTCATCTACTCACATGGCTTCAATTACCATGTGATATTGAGACTCCATTTTTCTTCAGATCAGATCCCTATGCGAGTTCCAGAACTGTTTAACATTCTATCCGATGCACCTACTGAGCAGGGTTGTCAGTACTTCAATCTCAGCGTGTTTAAAATTTAGCTGTCTCCACCTGAAGTTTATCATATGACACTCGCCAGCTCTGTCGTCACACGTCTTTACATTGAACTAATTGCACAAGGTAAATATTATAAATCATGGAACTTTGCCCAAGTACAATTTAAGTCCACCTCAGCGCCTCCATGTCCCTCAGCCCGCATGTCCAATTAAAGCCCATATCCCACCACACCTCCCTTCATCAGTACTTCATCTCAATCTCCTCTCTCAGCAGTTATTTCACTTAGGGCTTCACTTGTTCTCAGCACCTGGAGTTTTGCCTTGACTACCATCCAATTCATTTTCCTCAATGAAGCACTAATGATCTTCTCAAATATATGCCAGGTCATCTCACTGCCTTGATTAAAACCCTTCAGTTATGTCCCATTTGGACAAATTACAAATCCCTTGGCCAAGATATCAAGGCTGTGTTGATTTGGCACAACCTTCCTTTCCAACGTCCTTTCTTATTAGTCCTTCATTAATAATACCTTATCTTTATTAGTGTAGGTATCCCAGTTATACTTCTCCATACATTCCGGTTATAATGAATTTATTCTGGTTTTTGAAAGTGCCACTTATACTGTCTTCCACTTCTGGGCCCCTGTACAGGGTGTTCCCTGCACCACTCTACTTGGCTACTTCCTCTTCAATAGGCATCTGGGAACCCTTCTCGGCTTTCACTAGTTTGTCTTTTTCCCCCTTATCATCCTCTATCACTGCACTTTCCTTATCATGAGCATCAGCATTGCTTATTTGCACTGATTTATGTGCACATTTTCCACCAATTAGTATTTTGAAGGCAGTGAACTCGTTTACCTTGTTAACCATGAATAGTCACCATCTAGTATACTACGTAGCATATATTAGGTATTCAGTAACTGTTGAATGAATCTAATACTGGAAGTGGATTACATAAAAGTTTTATTGAAAAATAGGATTTTATCTGTAGTTTATGATGTAGAAAGCATATTCTGTTACACAATGATCAAAGCATTTCCGAAGTTTCAGAGATAACTTTCAAACTGGCTGAGTGTGAATGGGCATCCACAATAAGTGGTTTTTGTTTTTTCCCTGTATCAAGAAAGTAAAACAAAGCATAAAAGTATTATCATTGATTTCCTTCAATAACATATTCCAGATTCTGTGTTGGTTGACACTATAATAAAATAATGGTTAAATCTAGATCCTTTAAAATCTTAAACAAGATAATCTAATTCCTCTACCTCATTGGGAGACACTAAATATCAGGATATTAAACTTTTATAACAAAATGTCACCTTTATTCTCTAAATGTTTGGCATTTTTAGCATATACATCTCCTCTCAACAAACATGGAAAAATGCCACTTCAAATATTCTGTTGGAATTTTACCTGTGAATATCTGCCACACACCTGCTACCGAAAGCATGGCTAATAAGATGCACATGCCCAAGCCTTCATTGTTTCATCTGGAGCCTCTAAGCTTTACTCCTGTACCACACTATGGATTCAGATAGGTACCTGGGCACATTACATTTTTCTAAATCCCCACACATGTTTCTTTCATAGATATGAGTCTAATATTATTTCACTAGCTTTAATAAAAGGACCATGTGAAGTATAATCAGATGGAGAATATTACTTTTTGTAAACCCATTATAAACATACAAATTGTTGAAGAATGAACTATGTGGCAAGTTCCTCCAATATTAAAAGCTAGGAAAGTACGTCTTTTCTCACAATTCATCTATGTCCTTTATAGCTTAAAGAAAAAATTGCATCCTTTTTCTTGCTTTCTTTTTTTGCTTGCCATGAAACTTGGTGTTACATTTCATGTTTAAATCTAGTCTAACCACTTCTCCCACATTAGATTTTTTTATTTGAGATATAATCTGAATACATATAATTTTTGTAAAACTGGATTTAAAATCTCATTGAGATGAAATGAGAAAAAAAATGCCAACCATTGAGAAACTGATGTATTGACAAGTATTTTATTCTTTAATTTAATAAATATTTATTATATGTCCAATGTCTTATTTAACACTCACAGCCATTTAAAAAAATAGATGTAATAGCCCATGGTTTACAAATGAAGACTCTGAATTAGGTACAGAGCAGTTAAAAGAGCTGTTCTAAGTTCAGGGCCAAAGAAAACAGTGGAGCCCAAGTGGAATTCTGTGCCACATCATTCCCCTCAGACGCTAGGGAAAAATGTGTAAGCTGGAGCCAGGGGCATCACCACTCCATCACCGCTGCATCTACTGTCGATCTTTCTTTGTGGCTTTGTTCTATTCATCTTTTAAAAACTATAACTTATTTCCAATCCTTGTTACAATTAAGGTTTACAATGAACCAAATGTAGAGTCAACGTCCACAGTCAGGCAATCTGAGAATGTTTAGACACTGTCATTTAACTACCATAAAAGGACTGCCTTTTCTTTATTATTGAGAGGTAAAGGCTGAAATACATTGCATGGTTTATTCATGCAATTTGTTAATAAAATCTAAAGCAATTATCCTAAAATAAAATAAGAGGAAATAAAGTATTATTTTTCACTAACTTATTATAATAGTAGAGTATTAGTTAATAACTGACAAGCTTTGAAAATATCAAGTCCAAAACTTATCAAATTTTTAAGAAATGACTAATAAATATAATTATGATATACTCCGTTAATATTTAAAAATAGGTATCTGCTTTATCTCCTTTATGCTGTAAAAGTTTCATCTCTTGGAGACACAAAATGGAATCATCCAAGATGAAAAGTATTTTATAAGATTCAATTATTTTGTAACTCTCTGAAATGCAGGTGCATTGAAAAATATTCTAAATAGAAAATGCTCCCAATGCACAATGGTAAAGTAGCATAATGTAAGCAAATTATGCTTTCAATATCAGATGTCATATTATTCTGGATCTTTAGCTCAGTTAGAATCAAAATCTTAAAGACAGTTTGAATGAATGTACTTTTCTTCCTATTATCCATATGCATCTTACTCTAATATTTAGAACATGTAGGTGTCTTTGAAAGAATATTGCCAGAATAATAAACAGAATTCATACAGATATTACTTTACATTTATATATAGTGAGCTCACAGAATCATGTATGAATGATAATATGTAGAATTTGAATGCATCAGAATTAATTGCTTCATTTACTTAGTATCCTTGTAGTGTTTGTAATTTTTTTCTTGCATAGAGCAGGGGCCAGCAACCTTTTTCTGTAAATCCCCAGATGATAACTATCGTAAACTTTGTAGGCCAAACCATCTGTGTCACAGCTGCTTAATGCTGCCCCCCCACCAAACAGTCATATACAACTGTTACAATGTGTAACAACTGGGCTTGTCTGTTTTCAATAACACATCATAAAAACAGCAAGGCGCTGAATGTTGCCCGAGGTCCATAGTTTGCCAAGTCCTAATTGACACCTTTGAGGTTCTCAAAATAGCCGATCTACGCTTAGGGTCAAAACTTCCAATTTCTATATGTGGTCAGATAGATTCAGTCATTAAAAATATTGCAACATTATTAGAACATATATAATTTAGGGAGTTACCAAAATACTAACTGTCGGCAATAGCGGTGACTTCCTCATTATGGTACAACCAGCTGACGACAGGTGCAGGTGAGCTGCTAACTCGGCAAACCACTTCTGCATCCTCTCCTTGTTTGAATTCTTGAGGTGATACCACTTCTCTGAACGTGAGTTTTTCTGTATCAGGAAAGTAAAACAAGTCACAAATATTGTTATTGTTTATTTCTCTTAATAACCAGTTCCAGAATCTGTGTTGATTGATGCTACAATAAAATAGTTAAGTCTAGATTATTTGAAACCTTAAACCAAATATTATCATTCATCTACTTGGTAACTTCCCACATCACTGAGAAGAAAAACTGAAGTCCTTACAATCCCACCTTAGGTCCTGTATGAACAAAAATCTGACCCCCACAATTTTGATCTCAATTTACCCTCCCTCTCCCAGCGCTCCAAGCAAACTGCCATCTTTGCAATTCCTTCAACAGTCCAGGTTTGTTCTCAAACCTCAGCATCTGCACTCCTTAAATTCCTTCATATTTCTCCACCCTCCACAGACAAAATAGTCATCTCCCTTCTTCCTTCAACTCTCCCTGTCTCTCCATTCCACTTTATTTCTTTACTATAGAATTCTATAGCATGGATATCTAGTATCTATGCATTTTCAAAGCTTATTGTTTGTCTCTACTCACTAAAATATCAGCACCAAGTGGCTAGTGCCAGTTACTGTTTTAGTCATTATTGAGTTTCTAGAGCTTAGAATATTGTCTTCCATGTAGTAGACACCTGATGTAGATACCCAATAAATATGTACAATTAATGAATGAACAGGATATGTATGCTTGATGAGAATGTTCACAAAAGTAACTCATGGTTCTTGCCATGAAAAAAATGTTTCTTTACCTTTACAAATAAAACATCAGGTATCTCCCTATGCATTATTTAAAGTAAGACAAAGCTTTCCAAATAGGAAATAACTGTTTTGATATAATTTTTGCTATTAGTGAAATAGCTTCAGTAGAGGGTAACATAAAAAGGGAAAGTATCTTTCCTTGAGGAGCTTAGGAACTAAAGAGGGTAAAGGTAGAATCAAGAAAATGAGGGCATAGGATGCCAACCGATTCCCCTGGTCATCAAAGAGGAAGCCATTCTTGGGGAACGCCTTGGCTTTTTAAAAAATTCCCTTTCTAGAATTAAAAGAACATTATAAAGAATGTCTTATAAGCTGGTATTACAAAACTTTTATACTTTTTCACTGCTACCCACTATATATTAATTGTAAGGCATTGTTCTACACACTTTGTGCAATATTAATTAATGTAGTCCTCAAAAAAAAAAACTCTAAGTATGAGGTAGGTAGTATTATTATACCCATTTTATAGATGAAGAAACTAAAGATAGGTAAGTTAGGCAATTGCTTAACCCACAAAATGAACTGATATAGCCCAGTTTCAAACTTGGACAGTCAACGGTGCTCTTCAATAAGGTAATGATTCTTAAATGTGAGAAGGGGAAAGAGCTGTAGAAATCCAAGGATCTCAAATCATAAAATGAAATGTAAGTGTGGAAGTGTTTGTTAACGAAAGGCTTAGTGATGAAAAATCTGGCTAGATATCATTCTCCACTAGGTAAGTTTCCAAGCTTTCCTCTGTTTGCTCCTGTTCACTAACCCTTCCCCAATTGTCATTCTAGACTGGTCACTGTTATCATATAAGTGATTTCATGTGTTCTAATCACAGTCTTTTATTTTAGAGTGAAAAATATTCCATATATTTCATGTCACTAAATGACCCATTGTTTTCTATTTACCCAGCAGACTTTTAATGGCCTGAGAAAATTAAAACATTTCTATCTACATAATTTAATCAACATAATTGGCTCCATCTATATGTTTATTATCAACTATTCTATGTCATTCTACTTTAGGGATGAAATGTGGCAAAATTGATATGAGTTGCCATCTGTAAAGGTCTTAGACCATCACCTAGTGCATAGTTCTGAATGAGTGTTAGTTTTTATTAAACACATTTTATTTTGTTGTTGTTTTTTTTTTTACATAACTAAAATTTAAATCAACTAGTAAATACATGACTTACGGTAAATTTCCAAAACAACCGTAGCTTCTTGCGTCTGTCCTTTGGCGTCTGTTGCTTGACAACGATATATCCCTGCATCTTCTATATTTGCATTGTAGATGGTTAATCTTGACCTGACACTCTCCTTTTGTACCACTACTCTCTGTGTTGAAATTATCTTCTCTCCTTGAGGATTATACCAGTCTATACTCTCAGGCTCACCAATTGCTAAAAACAGTCATGGGAAAGAAATGGTTGAAAACATGTTTTAAGCGCTTGTTTTCAATTTAGCATTTACTTATTATGTAACAATATTTAACATTTGAGAAAAAAGGTAAATAGGAAAAGACTAGAAATATGCAAATGTTACAAAATTGAAATTAAACAAAAATGTTAGAACACATGGTCATCTTATTTATTCAAAATTGAGGATTCAATCCCATTTGAGTAAGTAAAACCCAAAAGTTCCATAGGAAACATCCAATATGATATTTAAGCTATGACAGTTGAATCTTGACCATAGTAAACTATGGAGTATTACTACACTGAATTATGAAGCTGCCTTGGCCATTGAATCATCCATAAATTATAGTTGATTGGTATATGTGAATAAAAATACGACTTCTAACATGATCTCACCTATTTAGTTCTCTTTGTGAGGGTCAGGAGTTAGAACTTTTCCCCTTGATAAAGCAGAGCTCATAAAAATGTAAATCTTATAGAAAACAAACTTTGGCTTTCATAGTAGCAAATTTTGAATTAATATTCCAAGTTGTATTTGTACAGACAAAGCTGATGACTATTTTTAAGATGAGGCCCTAATCTCTTTTCCCAATTGACATCAGTACTTTTCATTAATTTAATCTAAAACTCTTAACTAGTCATATGATAATTAGAATACATTGAAATGACACATACTGCTAGGCGATTACAACCAAATCATTACAGGGTAAACATATATTTAAGTTTTCCAGTTCAGAATCTAGGTTATTATGGTCTTTGTAAAAGCTGAAACTTCCTGTGTTTTCTTTTAGTCCCTGAAAGGATGTATTTCACCAAATTATTTGAGAGGGAGTTTGTGGAAGCAACATATGCCACTAACTCAAAAGTAACAGGGGGAAATGCATGAAGTGTGCTAACATCTGCAGGACCTCTTTGAAAAAAATTGTTCTTTCTTATTTTTTTTTCCAACAAATCATTTTAGAAACACGTTAGTATCCTTTCTACATCAAATTAGACATGCTCTAGCACAGTATGAAGGAAGGTTTAAATTTTAAATGGATCTCAGTTATGTTATTTTCTGTTTTTCTAAACAGATCCATAATACCATGGTGGTTAAAGGATAATTCATTTAGGGGAGGTATTGTTTTAAACCCCCCTCCATAGAGAAGTCACCAGAGAATAATGTAAGTGAGCATTAGTTTAAATTTGAACAATACAAAAGTCTCATTTTATACAGTAAAATATATGTAATATTATGTGAAATATTTTGTGTATTTTTACTTTTAATAGCATAATATAAAATTTGTTTACTATGAAGAGTTTATTTTGGATTTTCATAGAGTGGCCTTTTTTGGCATCTCTAATAAATAATAATTTTCAATAAATCTTTTCATGTTATTTTATTCATGAGTAGCCTATTGAAGAAATTAATCAATACAACGGAACTTTTTATTTTTTTGAAAACAGTATAAAATTACTTTGCTACACATGACATGCTCTTACTTAGTTCTCTGAAGATCGACTACCTTAAATTTAAGATATATTTATTTATTGTGTTTTAGGTCTGTGGCTGAGGGTGCAAGGAAACTTTAGAGTCATGTAGACATAGTCACTATTTCAGTAGAAAAAAATGGATGCAAGCTTTCTGACTTATACTGCTTTCCAACATCTATATTTTACATTCTTGCTTGACTTCTACATTTACCATAAATAAGGACACTTCCACAATAATAGTATAGCTCTCAATTATACATTTATAGAAAAATAAAAATTTAATGATTTTGTCTTATTAAGAACAAAACTCAGTACCACTGAATGATATTAATTCATAGTTTTAAATTATAACTTAATTTGACTATGGGAAAGATACAGAGGAAATCACACTATATAACTTATAATAGGTAAATTCAAGAAAAATACTATTTAATTTTATTTTCAAAATTTATTTTATCTTTATTTTTTTAATTTTTACATCATGTTTATTCTATTACAGTTGTCTCAATTTTTGCCCCTTTGCCCTCCTCCACCCATCCCACCCCACCCCCTTCTCCCACAGTCAATTCCCACTCTTGCTGTCCGTCTCCATGGGTCATTCATACATATTCTTTGTTTAGTCCCTTCTCCTTCTTTCCGCCATTGTTCCCCTTCCCCATCCCCTCTGGTCACTTTTCAGTCTGCTCCATGTTTCCATGCCTGTGGTTTATTTTGTTCATTAGTCTATTTTGTTGAATAGAGTCTACTTATAGGTGAGATGATATGGTATTTGTTTTTCACCGCCTGGCTTATTTCACTTAGCATATATGAATACAGCCTATCGTTATATTATTATTAATAGCTTAATAATAAAACTATTCCACTATTCTGTGATTATGTGATACAATTGTGCATTAGTATATATAAAATACAGGTGAAATTTAGAAACAGTGACTTATATTTTTATGCGAAAGCTCTGCTGACAAAATAAATAATATTTAACTAACCTCTTCCTGTTCTCTGTTATTCCACTTGGCAATGTATAAAAATATGTATCAACACACGTCAATTCAGATCTTTAAGAAGGCAAATACATAAAGAATCCTGGCTTCTATTAGTTTTTCATAAGATGTGATTAATATAAAATATAATATAAAATAATATAATATGTGGTGTATAAAGTTATAGTATACTATAATATAGAGTATGTTTACTAAGAATGTGATTTATGTTATTGTAATTGTTTCTACTTTTAATAATTTTAATAATTATAAATAAGCCATGCCATTTTCAAGACAACTTTTACAATGTATTTGTCAGAAATGTCTATTTAATTCCAGATTTGAATTGTTTAAATATAAACAGAAATAGAAACAAGTGAATATTTTTAAAACTAAGTATAAAGGTTTTATGAATAAAATGAATATGATGAAGCTAAATAGAAGACGATGTGGTCATTTTTGGTTCTATAGTACATTGAATTAGAATTTGATGTTTAAATACTTAAATGCCTTCTAAAAAATTCAGTATGTGCATAATTAAACTGAAAAATGTCTATATAATTTCCCATAGACATTATGATATCTGATACTTTTGATTAACAGTCATAAAAATCTTGTAATTTTTTCCTGATTAAATAATTATCTATAATTTTAAATCTTTTTTCATAAGGATAAATTTGATTTGCTTTGTCCTAAAATTTTCAGCAGGTGTAACTATAATGCAGTGTACCATAACTAAGTTATTCATCACATATTTACAATGATTAGTTATAATATTGATGTTCATCCCAATGTTACCATTTAGACAGGTATAACATTAGAAATGATTTAAGTTATTGTATATATATTATACTGCATAATAAGTTATTTTCAAAATAAATAAGCTAGTTTGACAGTCAAAATTAATAACATTAACAGAAATAAAATCCAAATTGTTCAACATGCAAAATTTAGTAACTGATACTTTTCTAATTATTATAAAATCTACGATAAGATTTTATTTTTAGATAATTGAATTTTGCACTTGTATTTGCCAATATATTATATTAAATAATCAAGGCATAGAACAAGTTACCTGAAAATATTTATAATACATACCTGTACATGTGAAGAATTTAGATTCCCCCACACTAAGCTCTACTTTGCTAAGTGAAATTGTCACTTGAAGAAGAGCTGAAAAAAAATATTTAAGGGACAATTAATTATGGTTTTATATGTGAATTTTAAGATTTTATTACATGATCTATAAACCACATGACTGAAGCAGCAATTATTTTCCCCCAATTTTATATTACCTGTAAAGACAAATGAAAGTTGTGTTAAATATTGTCTAACAACAAAATGTTACATTTTATTATGCACTTCACAACCAGACCAAATGCATGACTCAATTAAGCTAATATTTTGAAATTTATTTGTCAAGTACATGAGCAAATTCATACTCAAAGAGCTGTTCATTCCATATTTACATGCTAGGTTTATAAGGGCTACATGATTAGGCAAAAGCTAGAGAAAACTTCTCCCTCAAATTTGAAAACTTGCTTAAAAGAACAAATTCTACACTGTAATTACAACAATAAAAATATAGATTAACTACATTTTATTACCTACTAAAATATTTCCATGAAAGAAGACATGCACTGGGAAGACAAGGATCATTGAATAGGGAAAAGTGAATGGATGTTGATTTTGACAAGATAGGTTAGTTAAATGAAACAGCCAAGACAATGGCATTGCAATAGATGAGTTCGATAAATTTGTTCTCAATTTCACAATAAAATAGAAGAAGATTCTAGAATTTTTAGAAGATAATTGAAATTGTTTCAATACAAATTAAAAGACATCTCTCTAATATGATGGACAAGAGAGTGTGACCACCCATAAAATCCTGTCCCACGTTTTTATTTTTTTCCAGAAATGCATACCTGAGTTTTCAGTAAAGTAATTGAGCTACAACGGAAAAAATATATATAAACACTAGAATATAAATCGACCCTGGGAATTTATGAATCCCAGTAACTGAAAGATGCACAGGTTACACAAAGATACGGTCCAAGCTTATCTAGAAAAGGGGGTACTATAGAACACCAAGTAACATTGGACCAGAATAAATTTAATCCATACTATAAGAAGGGTCAGAATAAATCAGTCCACTGGCAAAAGGGTAATGACCAGGACAGTCATCTCTCCTGGCCTGTGTAGAGGCAAAATGTTTCTCCTTAAATAGATTAGCCACAGTTCTGCCATATTGCATGTTTTAGATTTTAACTATAAACACAGAATTTGGGAAATCTCAACCTGAAAAATTAAACTAAAAAGCAGTGTCACATGTACGGTTCACAACTAAGTGACAGAAGCAAATGTAAGTGTCTTTTAGAAGATCTACATCATCAGCCCAGACTGCCCAAGATTTTAATAAGTGAAGCTATTTCTAACCTAAATGCACATTCTGACATTATAAAATAGATAGCAAATTAAGGCATTGTGAAATGAGTCACGTGAAACAACCAACAGAAGTAGGAACATGAAATTTCAAAAAATGGGATTAGACTAAGAATATAATGTAACTACATTGAAAATGTTTCAAGAAATAAAAGGTAAAATCAAAAACATGAGGAAGGAAGGAAATGTTCACCAAGAAAGGCTTGTCAAGTATGTTTAAGCTCTTTAAAATATGTTTCCTAGTATTCTTCATCATTGATTGATAAATTTAGTCTTTTGCAGGAAACCTGTCTAGGAACTTAGGCTGGGCTACATGGCGTTCTCCTTTCCCTTAGTCATGGGTCCTGTTTTTAATCACAATCCGTTAATACTCAGTGCTGCGTACACTATAGTGGCTCAAGTGTTCAGGTAAGCCTAGTATTTCAGTGGGAAACTCATTAAGAAAATCACAAAAGTCAGAAAGAAAAGGAAGAAAACTAATAGAACCAAGAAACAAGGGAGTATTTAAAAACTATAAACAATGTCCACTCCAGTAAGAAAAGTCACAGAAGAGGACTTTTTATTTTGAGAAGTGACTACCTAGATGAGCTTTTTTATGTGTAATGGGTTCATAGAGACAAATTACAGAAGTTAAGGAATTTGTTTCTAAAACTGTTTAATTTTACTTGCCTTCTCAAAAGTAATCAAAGTGGATTAGCTTTGGCTATTTAAATAATTATTACACAAATTTCCGTTAAAAGAAACTTACCTTTCCCAGTTTATTTCCAATTACTCCTTCCCAATGCTTCTGCATCTACAGACAACAATGGATTATTCCCACCCCTTCTGCTCTGGCTCAACCACACTTTCCCATAACCGTACATTTGCTCAAACTATTTCCTCTGCCTTCATCTCCCTTTCTCATGTCTCCAGATGGCTGGCTACATTCTATCTTCAAAGCAAAATTAAAATATCAATGACTTTGCAAGACATTCTTTGGAAGCTGCATCCATTGATTCAACAAATAAATATTTTCGATCAAAAGGCATTTTCACTAAACAAATGAAACATATGTTGATAATTATTTTCAGTTCTCTATCCTATTGAGACATAACTTCCTACAAGGGAAGGCTCATCAGCCTCACTTCTGTTTCTCCTAAACTGATAATATAGGAATACTTTGGAAAATAATGACAAACACCTATCCAGAGCATGCTGTACACCACATACAGAACATTGACCATATTAATAATATAAAATGTCAGAATGACTTCATTGCCTTAAATTGAATTTAAGGGTATCATAGAGTCTGAGAAATGTCTGCCAATTATTATATAAATAATTCCCATATTTGACCTTTACAGTTTATTTGTTTTGCTTCTAAGGAAAAGTTTATAAAAAAGACAGGACTTAAAAGACATAGGCACTTTAAAAATCAAATGCAGTTCTGAACAATTTTATACTGTTTTGCTGATGGGTATAATAAATAACTTATGTTCATTGTAAGAAAATAAATTTAGCTTACATTTAATCAGTTAATTTATATTCAAATACTTGGATATTTTTTACATTTAGTACAAACTATCAATTCACCCATAAACATATTTTTCATAGATATTTTAATGGCATTGTTCTATTTTAGGTATTAAAATTATATAAAGAAAGAAAAAAAGAAGTACTAAACTTCGCAACAGCATGGATGGAACTGGAGAGCATCATGCTAAGCGAAATAAGCCAGGGGGCGAAAGACAAATACCATATGATCTCACCTATAAGCGGAACCTAACCAACAATGCAAAGAAGCAAGGAAAATATGACCAGCAACACTGAAAGGAAAAGAAATCAACAGAGACAAGAGGGAATGGTGGGGGCAGGGAAAGGGAAGGGAAGGGGAAAGTCAAGGAACATATAGCAAGGACTCATGGACAAAACCAAAGGGGAAGAGCTGAGGGAGGGAAGGTGGGAGGGGGCAAGGGAAAGAGGGGGGGAAAGGCAGAGACAAATGTATTTAAAAAGTAAATAAATTAATTAAAAATAAAAAAAAAGAATATACATAATTCCCTAGTCTAATATATTTACCAAAGGCTACAGTTTCTCCAATTGATCTCTACAAATACAGTAAAACATGTGAATATTATAACAAACCTGGAGAACTAAAATTTAAGGTCAGGTCTCAATTATTAGTTTAAAAACCAGAATTTCTTGTTATCATTGTTGATCCCTGGCCTTGTCCAACAGACTCATCTTTGACCGAAATGTCAGAAGCTAAAGGGATTAAGGAAAGAAACAATAAACCTGTGTGTGTGTGTGTGTGTGTGTGTGTGTGTGTGTGTGTAACATAAAGACACAGACAATAGTGTGATGATAACCAGAGAAAAGGGGGTGGAGGGTAGGTGGATGTGGGCAAAGGGGTGGGAGAAAAGGGGGACAAAAGGAGACATTTTTAGGGATGATGGACACATGATGAAATGTGCATGTATTATTTTATTGAGTTGTATGCTTGAAACTTACATGGTTTTGAAATCAATGTCACCCCAATAAGTATTTTATTTTAAATGACATCAGCTCTGGCTGACGTGGTTTAGTGGATTGAGTGCCGGCCTGTGAACCAAACGGTTGTTGGTTCAATTTCCAGTCAGGGCACATGTTTGGGTTGCGGGCCAGGTGCCCAGTAGGGGGCGTGCAAGAGAGAACTACGCATTGATGTTTCTCTCTCTCCTCCTTTCTAAAAATAAATAAATAGAATATTTTTAAAAATAAAATAAAAAATGAAATCATACCAAAACAAAACAAAGGTTAATAAAGAAAACAGGAGAAAAAAGGTTAAAAAAAAGAACAAAAAAGGATGTGGCAGTTCTTCAAATTCATCGGGTAGGGAGGCAGAGATGGCAGGAATGCATGCACTGAGTGTCCCCTGTTGCCTGTGGTGCAAATGATTTGGGAGGCTTTACGGGAGAGTTCCGTCAGCAGATAGTCTGCAGTGGTATTCAGCTCCTGGGCACTTATCAAACTGCTTATGCAAATGGATGCTTTAAAAAAGTGCCATCCTTTCCCTTCCTTCTTGCATCCCTCCCTCCTTCTTTTTTTCATTTCTTCTTTCTTTCTTTTAATAAGACAATTCTGAAAAGTATGGAAGTCTGGTCCTTTATTTTGAGCTCTTATGCCTCAAGAAGATAGTTTAAAATGCTATCTTCTGCTTCAGTTTTTATATGATGATAATTATAATAAAAATAATAACACAGCAAAAAAAGAAATAATAATTTCTCAAAACCAAAAGCTCTGTTCAGAGAAAACTGGACAGAAGTGATATATTTGATATCTTGTCCAGTTAATCTTTCTGTCATTTCTGGTGTTTTGATTGAAGAAATAGAAGTGGATACTGATATGGGGCCTTTAGTTGACTTAGAAAAAGTGATATTAGGCATTTCTAATTCAAATTTCAATTTAGAATTTGGGTTTGAAATTATAATGTCAGTGTGAATTATTGATGTTGAAAAATCTGATTTTGATGTTTTGCTCTTCTTATGTAGTAGAATCATGACTTTGATAAAATCTGTGAAGGGTATAGTGTTACATAGATTCATTTTATGTAAGAAAATTATTGATTAAATGTTGGCATTCTTTATAAATCAATCAACAAATTATATTTTTTACCCTGACTGATGTGGCTCAGCAGATTGTGTGCTGGCCTGCAAACCACAAGGTTGCTGGTTCGATTACCAGCCAAGTACCCAGTAGGAAGTGCATGAGAG